CGAGAGAACATCAAAACTTCTTGTAGCAACAAAGATGAACTGAAGGCAAGGATTATGGCAGCATTCACCAACTTAAACAAGGAGACCGTCCAGAAGAAGTGCAGAAGATTCCAAAGTCGCTTGAAGACTGTGTTTGCATGCGATGGCGATTTTATTGAATAAATTTAATCTTTACTACTTTAAGATGTAATTTTGGTAAATTAGTGTGTTCAAATGAGATGCCAATGTTATTTTCGTTTTTGCGTAATTCAGACAATAATTTATCCATCACATCCTGTATTTATGACGTATTTGCTTAGCAGATCAGATGTAACGGGAACTAAAAGTAAACATATTCTTGCTTCACTTTTACTTGTTATGTTAGCATTTAAGATGTATCAAATCGGATGTTTCAGTTTTCCAAATGCTGAATCCAAACGGATGAAAGCTCATACGTTTTTCTTCCATCAAACTCTAGTTTGGGTTGTTATTGTTTAGCGGCATATCATTACCTTTATGGGTTATTTAATGCCAAAATTTAAATATTTTCTATGTAATTTTATGACTTTGTGGACTCGTCCAATTTTCCTTATCTTCTAACCCTAACAAAAGCAGAGTCCACATCGTACGCCTACGTACCTAGAAAACTTCAACCAATAAAAACGACAAGAAACGAAGCAAACAACCCCATTGGTCAATCACTTGAAGTTCACGTGCAAAACTGAAATTGCGCCAAATTCAAGTGAGCCACCCGGTGGATATATAAACTGAGAACGTTTGAACCTTCGGAGAGAATAGCAGCAGTAATTACCAAGTTTCAAGATGTAACATTCACCGACTCCCGTCTTAGTCATTGCTGACCAGACGTTAAAGACAATTACCAACTCCACGCCAGTCAGTCTCACGAATTCGCAGAGTAATTTCCAATATACTCCACGCCGTTACAAACCACAATTTTGCCGCGCACGAAGACACTTCGCTGACTCACATTCGATCATTCATCAATCAACTCTGTGAACACTTTTCTCAACTTTGCTTATGTACAGTGAATTAAATTCACTTCTAAAAAGATAAGTAAACATCAAATACGTTTAAGGGTAGACCACTCTAAAAAAACTCTTTCCAAAATACTCTTATTATTCATAATTACGATATTCGACACAAACAAAAAGACAGCGAACCAACGAACAATATCAACAAAGAGACATTCACGAATCTAACAATTACACACACAATTTTGTCCACACAACACACACTGATTACCCAATCTGTATATTGATAAATTGTATAAATGTTGCATTGTTTTCTAAATTGCATATGTTTCGTTTTTTAATTGCATTTGAAAGTTCGTTTATTTGTATGTTTGGGGATGCAGTGAGACACGCAACCCACTAAAAAAATCCTTCTGATTCTTTCTTAAATAATTAACAATCCTGCACGTCCCCAACAACTTCAATTACAGATATCACTACTGCCTCCGCCGTATCATGCGCGTGCGTCTCTCCGACCGGATCCCCAACTCGTCCATCCGCGCCAGATGCAACATTCTGGGCCTGGAAGAAACTCTGCTTAACAGGAGACTCCGGTGGTTCGTCCACATGCTGCGGCGGCCTGGTGATGGTTTCGTCCGTAAACTGGCGGCGCCAAACGCACCCACTGGTTGGAGGAAGCGCCGAGGTGGTCAACTCAAGACGTGGCTCGCAACGGTCAAAGCAGATATGGAACTCATGTCTGGTCCTCGCGTTTTCGGGGTCCAACGCTGGAATCGCGAATGGCTCGACCATGCCGTCGATTCTGCTGCCGATCGACAGGGGTGGATGGCCTTGACGCGCGATGCGGTTAATTCAATTGGAGCCGGCTCAAGCTACCCCGGGTGAATGCCGTTACAAGACAAGAGAAGACAGATACCTGTACTCTGCATATATAAAAAGATTTTGTAAATTCTGCGGACAAAGTGTGGATGTTTAAATTTTCATTTTATTTTTTTGCAATTTTTCGAAAAAGATGATGTACATCGCAATCAAAATTGTAAATAAACTGCCCGACCTTTATCCATGTTAGTCGTTATCAAGAATTACGTGACAAGTTTTGGTCTTGTGTTAAATGAGAATGAGAAATGTTTATATATAAGTTTTTTTCATTAAATGCGCGTTGAAAATCTTTGTTATTAGTTTAGCCTTTTCCGTTGCAGGCTTGTATCAGTTAAAACATACTTAGATACAAAAGTTACTTTTATTAGGTAAACATGTTTCAGTTGAAATCCCAATTATTTAATGCATGAAATTAATGTCGAGCATTGTATATATCGAAAAATCGTTGCTGACTAAATATACAACCCTGCGGAAATCAAACATGTATTCCGTTTTGCCATCTGAGAAATCTTTTCTTTAGCCGAAGTACATACTGTGATGGTTAGCTAATCTATTTGCTTATGTAAAGAGTTCAATCAACATAGTCTGACATAGGGATATTAGTAAGGCACTATGTCGAACAATTCGTTTTTCGAACAGAAAATTCGAAATAAAAATGCCTCGGTTATCGAACAAAATTTCGGTTCTCAAACAACATTGTTGAAGCGAGTTCACCCGAACGAAATAATTTCTGAGTCGACCGCCATGTTGTATACTTCCGTGTGTTGTGGCGTGCTTTTCTTTTTCAATTTTATTCTAGTGTGAGTTTTTTTCTCTACATTGATTCCCAATGGAAAAATAATTTCGGTTTAAGAAGGGTCTTCAGGAACGAATTAAATTTTTGAACCGAGGTCCTATTGTATTCATTGCTTTGTTTTTCTTAACATAATTCCTTCTGTAATTTCAAATATTCCAGTAATTTCCTTCAAGAAATTCTGTTGAATTTAATCTCATCCTTTACATATACATTTTCTACTAAGTGACGCACACACAAACCAACAGCATCCTCATATATATATATATATATATATATATATATATATATATATATATATATTGGAGGATGCTGTTGGTTTGTGAATATATATATATATATATATATAGAAAAAGTTTCAAATTGAAAATTATAATGTTTTATTTTATGAAAGTATTTATTTATTTATATATATATTTGATATTTCAAATTGTCCTCAATTTTTCATCAGAAATAACTGTTTGTTACAAATAAATTAAAATTACTGTTTGTTGGCAAGTAGCGTCCTTCATGAGACGCGGACGTCACGTGATATGGAATGCTACTTGCTATATCAAATATATATATATAAATAAATAAATACTTTCATAAAATAAAACATTATAATTTTCAATTTGAAACTTTTTCTATATATACATATTAAGAAAGTATACGTGGCTTCTCATTATATATATATATATATATATATATATATATATATATATATTAGACGAGCGTGTCATTTTCGATATATCAGTGTACAGCAGCTCTGTTTTTAGAACCGAACAGCCAGACTATTCACACGTAATTTGATTATAAAGTTGAAAGGTGAACCATAATTTTTGGAAGAACCCAAAACAGATAACTGGTTCACATAGTCCGCCACCACGCTTTTGGTTTTCAGAGTAGTTAT